TTTCCAAATTATTCAGTTGACTTTTTTTTTGAAGGCCTACTAATTACAAGGCTCTGACAGAGATGCCTGGTATAAAATGAGTAATATTTCTCTGTTGAATATAACAATCTATTGGGAGGCATCTATATAAATGGAGAATTAAACAAAGAAGCACAAGTACCTTGGTTGGTCCTCTGCACCCTAAGTTCTGTAGTTAAAATTGACCAGAGATGGAAAATATTTTTTAAAGTACATCTATACTGAGCTTGTATAAACTTTGTTTGATCATTGTTCCCTAAAGAATACTGTACACCAACTATTTGCATAGCATTTACATTGCATTATGTATTATGCTATCAAAAGCCACATACCCAGCCCAATTTGTATTTTAAAATATAGACTGGATGTATGCATATTATATGCAGATACTATGTCATTTTATATAAGGTACATAAGCATCTGCATTTGTGGAGTTTGGTGTCTACGGGGAGTCCTGGAATCAATCTTCTGCAGATACTAAGGGACCATTGTACTGTGATAAAGGAGTGTTGGGGAGCTCAGGTGAGAAGAATGTATCTAAATTGATCTGTGTCAAAGAGAACTGGCTGTAGATGTGACCTGACCTGAATTTAGATGGTGATATCTTATTGGAGTCAATAATGGGAAGGGCACTCCTGTTACAGGGAGCATCACTTCTTAGATATGGTGTCATCTGCCACCATGCCCCGAGGAACTAAGAACTCTAGATACAAAGCAGAATGAAGTTGTTAAAATGTAAGGTCTTAGACAACAAGCCATTGATTCAGTGCAAGGAGGTCAGCAGCATCAGGGAGAAGCAGGCAGATGCAAGTGGGGAGACAGCACACAGAATCCTGGAGATCAGAAAACAGGATTGGGAGGGAGGGGTCTCTGATCCTAAAAGAAAAGCCTTTTTTTTTTTTTTTTGTACTGGTAATTGAACTCAGGGGCACTCAACCACTGAGCCACATACCCAGCCCCAATATGTATTTTATTTAGAGACAGAGTCTCACTGAGTTGCTTAGCACCTGGCTTTTGCTAAGACTCGCTTTGAACTCGCGATCTTCCTGCCTTAGCCTCCAGAGCAGCTGGGATTACAGGCGTGCGCCACCACGCCCAGCCAGAAAGGCCACTTTTACTGCTGCTGCAGTTCATGTGTTGGATATAGGCAATTTCTTCTGGGCAGGTATATGTCCTATTCAAATATCCAGAAACCTGCGATATTTGAGTAGGCTTTGTGTCATCCTACCTTCACCTTTTAAGAACCTGCGAATGACACCCTTTCTTAAACTACCTGAAACTTCTGTATGATGTTAGTGAAACATTAGAGGAGCTGGAGCTCAAAGTTATCAACTGCAACAATACTTAGAATCATAAATATGATGACCAAAGAGGTAAGAAAAACAGTAAAAAGAAAAAAAATGTAGTATAGGTATATCAGATGAACTATTAAGTAGCCCAAAGAAAATGATAATTTTGAAAACTGCAGTATATAAAACCCTATTAAAAGCAATCAAGATTCAAACCTGGATGAAAAGAATATTCAGATGGAAAAATACAAAGCTATTGAAGCTATTCTTTTCTCTTTTGTTCATGTTTTATATAACATTCTTAAATTAATCTTATATGTTTTCTTTTTAATCTAAAGAAACCTAAGGGTAAAATGTGTGTCCTGATTAGAGCAGAAACAAAAAATGACCCTAAATAAATAATAGCCCCCTTGATGTGTTTGTTTCTCCCATGAAAATTCAGTTTTCTTCCTAATTGCATCGCAGTTCGCGTGGTATATTCATTTTGCTTGTTAGGTCTGTCCTCAGTCTCCCCCTTGAGCACACCCCCTCACTCCCTGGATCTGTGGGAAGTATTGTGATGTCTGCCCGCTAATTTTGCTGTGACTGGGGCTGGTGTCTGGTTGGTGATTCATGTTTGTTCCAAAGTCGTACATCTGTGTTGGTTGCTTTGAAACAGTGCCCCAGGGAATATGAAAGGCCATTTGTCTCACTAAGACTGCTTCTTTGCACCAGAGAATTCCTCCCTGGCTTCCTCTAAATTCCAGCAATCTCCCCTATGAGTTTAGGCAGGGTAAGGGAGAAAGAAAACAAGCCCAAACAAGAATGACATGGAGAGAGTTTGGGTGCCTGGGTCTAGTCCCAGTTTACCTGGCAGGGGTGAACTTTCTGACACCGGCACTAGGGACAGAATGCCCTGGGGCACCAGCTTTGTGGACTTACTTTGCCCAGTAGGAGTGCCTCCAGCAGAAAAGCAGGCAGAGTGAGCCCTTGTGGCACCCTCAATGGAAAAAGTTTTAAGACTGGTGGGTAGACGCACTTGGCCCCTCTTCTAAGATTTTAGTACAGGTACACAGCGGTGATATTCATAACATTTAATGACTGGTACCACATAAGCACTGACCAATTTAGTGGCCCCAGGCCATATACTGGAGCTAGAGATCCCCCACTGCTCTAGACACCAAGTCTTTGGTTACTGGACCACTACGAAGTCCAACTCATATTGATGGGCTGCTGGATGTCAACTGTTCAAAAAGTATTTTGCTGTTGTAAGATCCAAAAAGCTGTGCAGATACATACCAGATGAATAACAACAGGACTATACATGAGATTTCAAAGCTCACATCTACTGTTAGGCTTTGTGTGATCCTACCTTCACCTTTTAAGAACCTGTCCTCTTTGACCTTAAGAAGGGATCAGTATTAGGGCCTACAGGTTCTGCAGGATTGGGGGTGCATGAAAGAACCTTCATCCACAAAGCAGCTCTTCATTTTATTCAACAGCTAATGCAGTTCTCACCAGGGGATGTTTGGGGGTCTGTTTCATTGTACTTTTTACTTGCAGTGATGTAGGTGGCTCACAGCGTAACTCTACCTCTAGGAAAGCTGGTCTACATGGGTGATTACCTGCCCTGGCTGACTGGCCTGCAATCTTTAAAAGGTAGCCCTGTTCCACACCATTGGCCTGCTGAGAAAATCCATCTGTGGTATCCTGAAAGCCCAAATATATTGAATTGGCTCTTTCTTTTCTTTTTTGCCCAGAGATTCTCACTTGCTGCTTCTTATCAGACACCTGGAGTTTGTGGGTTGTCCCAGAGTTGTTTCTCAGAGTGTTTCTGGGAAGCATTATAACCCTACATCCTGTCATGTCTTTTCCTGTTTCAAGAAAAACTACTTCAGGGTAATCTTCTGCCTCCGTGTTCATACAAAATAGCACCCAAGGTTGCTTCTAGTCTGGCTGACTCTTTACATACCAAGCACAATTTCTCTTTGAATCCAGAGACTGAAAGGAAACGCATTGCATTATCCAGTGGGCTGCTGTGGAATGCAGTTATAAGGGACATCTGAGGTTGTAGGGAGACTAGTTGGAAGACTGTGGGTCTTCCGGTGGTGCTTCATCTACAAGTTTCAGTAGAAACTGTCTTATCTGCAGTTTCACTTTGCATGGTCTCAGCTACCTGTGGTCAACCGTAGTTCAAAAATGTTGTGTGGAATTTTTTAAAAATTCATAACTTTTAAATACTTTTATGACAGTATATTTTAATAGTTGTTCTATAATTAGTTGTTAATCTCTTACTCTGCCTAATATACATAAACTAGATTGTATAAGTATATATTTATAGGAGAAAACAGTACACATAGAGATTGGTATCGTCTGGTATTTCAGGCACCCATTAGGGGTCTCAGAACATATCCCCCATGGATCAGGGTGTGGAGACAACTACTGTTCTAGCCTGTTACTTTAACCCAAATAGTTATATCTCCCTAAATCTTGTTTATCTCAAAAGATTTATATATTGTTTGCCAAGTTGTTGGGATTAAATGAAATAATCTATCAGAAAACACATTGTAAATTGAAAAAAAGTAAGGAAAATGCACCAGAAGAGAGGAGCATTGTCCGAATTAATGAAAGAAAAGGACCAAAAATGTAGAAAACAATTATAGCAGCTGACTGAGTAACCAAAGGAAGCCAACTGTGGTCTAAATTGGAAGAAAGAACACCCCAGCCTTGAGCCTCCTTCCCGATACCTCTCTCTGCAAAGTGTTAGCTGGGGAGACATGGATATTAGAGGAAAGTACTAGGGAGGAGTGTTACTGTGGATTTGAGGCTGGGGGAGGTTGTGCATAGAGAGTGATAAAGGAGGGACATGATGTCTAGGTGATATCAGGATGAGGAAAGAAAATAAGAGACAAAACCTCTGCTAAACCTGTCTGTGTGATCATTGATGAGGTCTTCAAATAATTCTGAACTTGAGGGCATCTCCCCAGAGAGAAGCAGATGATCAGAAATGGCACTGGCACTCCTCTGGGGGAGCCAGCGAGGGCATCTTCTCCAGAGACCAAGCTCTGCAGCCTTGGAGAGTAATTTGGTGTTATCAGATTAATTAAATCCTTTTCTGTGGTTAAACTTGCATATGAATATTAAATCTCAGGCTGGGCCTCCCATCTAATCAGACAGTGGATGTTTTCATGATAACACTTTGTTCCCAAAACATTTGGAAGTGTGCATATTGTATTTTTAATGAGACTGTGATATTTATTTATGGCAGGAAGAAATCTTCCAGCTAGGAAGTCTCATTCACATAACAGCTCTGTGTCTGACACCTAGAGCTGTGCTAGATGTCCCCTCCAGACTTGCTTATTATCACAAATTATTTTACTTTCAACTCTCATTCTTAATTTGTCATAGTTGCTCATGTTGCTGAAAGAGGTCATGGGATTTGCTCCTGGGTTCAGATTCTGATGGTCATTATTGATGAAGATAATATTAGGTAAATGAATGAAATTCTGTGGGACTTGGTTTCCTACATTTTAAAAATGGGAATAATAATGATTCTAACTCAGAGCTATCTTATGAATTAAAATTTTCCAGAAAGCATAAAGCTTCATGCAGTGTGCTTGGCACCCAGTACTGCCACACGTGGGTTTTCAAAGTATGTTGGATGTCTTCGTCTGTGACTCTCATGTGACCCGAGCTTCCTGTTTTCTCTTTAAGCTTTGATGTGGAAAATGGCCCTTCCCCAGGTCGGAGCCCACTGGACCCCCAGGCCAGCTCTTCCTCTGGGCTGGTGCTTCACGCCACCTTTCCTGGGCACAGCCAGCGCAGAGAGTCCTTTCTATACCGGTCAGACAGCGACTATGACTTGTCACCAAAGGCGATGTCAAGAAACTCATCACTTCCAAGCGAGCAGTGAGTAGTGTTCTTCTTGTCTGGCTCCCAGCCTCGCATTACCTCATCTTCACCCTGTCATAGCAGCGGCAGCATCAGCTGCCCTCTAACCTGAGGGAGAAGGGACACAAAAAAATGAACATGACCAGAGGTGACAGGGTTGACCATCTTAACGACATCAGTGCTTTACAGCATGTGAATTTGTAACTAGAGTCTCCAAAGGTGTTTAAACACCTCAAGCACAGCGTTCAGTCCACATCTGTTATGTACACTTAAAAAAAATTTTTTTTCATTGAACTTCATTTCCTGAACTGCTGAATCATTTATGGAATAAGAACCTTAACACATTTCGCAAATCACACTTGAGTTGTCAGCTGCATATGCAGTTTGCATGAGGCTCCCCCAGAGAAGAAAAAATGGTGGTTGGTCACCTGCATTTCTTTCACTGGCCTTTGTCTGGTGGCATTTAGGTCGTCACTCGGATACATGCCTTTGTCCTTTCTCTGGAACCTAACACAATACCCGCTTGTTGCCTGACTCCTTGGTGAGACACAGCACACGTCACCGCCCCGCAAAGCACAGCTGATGTTTTTGTTTTGCTCCTATTAATTGTAGATCTCTAATTTTTATTTAAAGAACAATGACTGGGTTGTATTGCCTGCTTATTAAATTTCTGAAACCAAATAAAATTGGATGCTAAAATCCATGCCTTAAAAGGTTTCTGGGCACACATACAATTGCTTTTAACATCATATGTTATAAAAATATCAGTAGCTCCCTAAAGTCTCCAGCCTGGAAAATTCCACTGGGTTCTCTTTCACTATTAGAGAGGAAGCCAAAAAGGTTCACCTTCTTGTAAAGGGGCAGAGGGCATTTTAAAGCTAGAGGGAAGAAAATGTTCCTTGGTTATTTCTACTAGAAAACTTTAACAGAAGCACCCCAGCCCTAAAATATTTAAATCATTATGTGGACCAAAATTCATTTTTTTCACTCATTTTTAGTTAATATTTACTGAACTCTCTTACGTGCTGTGTAATGTGCTAGACAAATGTGGGGATAAATGTTGAACAACACAGTGGAGAACTCACAGATGAGTTAAAAAGCATTCCCCCAAGTTTGCTTGTTCTCATGGAGATTGGAACTAACCAGGAATGATCAAAGGAACACACACATACACATTTTACTCTACAGAGTAGAAGGAACATGGCATTTAATGAGCATTTACCCTGGGGCCAGTTTCCTTTACTTGTATTCTCTGTTATTTGTCATAGCAACCCTGTCAGGTAGGTCCCATTATTATCCCCACTCTGTAGATGATGAAACTGAGACTCTGAGAGATTCAGAAACTTGCCCCTGTCTCATGACTCTGTCTCATATTATATCCCCTCATGTAGCTAAGAATCAAGTCCATTTCTTGTTGCTGTAACAAAATGCCTGTGATTCGGTACTTTATAAATGAAAGAAATTTATTTGGCTCACAATTCTGGCAGCTGGAGGGTTGAAACAGCATGGCACTGACCCCTTGACTGCATTTCAACCTGTCTGAGAAATAAAAAAAGGAACTAACCACATACAAAACGGGCCAACTGAGTAGGCTGGACCTGCTTTATAACAAGTTGCTATCATATGAGAATGAACTCACTCAACAAGACCTCCATTAATTCCTTGCAAGAGCAATACCTGTAATGACCCAATTACCTCATACTAGGTTCCACCTCTGAAAGGTTCCACTACCTCCCAACATCACCATACCAAGACCCAACTTTGAGCATATGAACTCTTGGATGATACCCTCAAACCATAACTAAACCATAGAAATTGTCATATTCAAAAGTTTTGAACTCTCGTTGTCTACGTTCTTTATACTGTGAAGGTAGAAAACGCGAGTACAAAATAGAGGTACCTGAGGCTGGAGGAGGGGTGGTCATTTGGTTATGCTTCATGCAGGCTCCATATTTTCTGACTATGTCTTGGGTGGTAACCATTCACAGTGAATACACTAGGAATCCTTATTTCCACCTTGATAAAGACCTTTCTAGACTTCATCATAGGAGAGCATTGGAAATGTAGTGAGCTCAAAGAATTCAAACTTCATTCATGTGGCATTTTACAGATAGAAGACTAGCTTTGAAAAAAAGTCTTTCCCTAAATTAATTCCTCAGGTATAGTTCACCAAACTTGTGCTAGGTAGTATGATGAGTCTCCATGCATTCCATCTTCACAGAAGACTCCTTCCAAATTTCAGACTCAACTCTGGTGTTTCTCTCCTCAGAATCAAACATTAGAGAAAATTTGCCCTTGAAGAGACCTTGAAGATCACAACCCAACTCAGTCTGTAGCTGATGAAAACAGGATGTAGTTCTGTATTACTCTGCACCTGGTATCCCTGTTGCTAGTGGGTTACCTTTTCTGAAGTTTTACTGACCAGTAAAAGTTTCCCCCAACTCTAGAATCCACACAGTGATGCCAACTTTAAATTTAGACAAGTAAGCTTTTACAAATGTAAATTACCTTATATCATTCTTACTTTTTAAGGACTTTTAAAAAATGTTGGAAGGGCACAGTTTCACAATAATAGTCTCTCCTGAGAAAATAGAGTTGGCAACTTAATACCACCTTATGCAGATAACAGGATATATTAAACTCTTTGTAAATAAAAATAGCAAAAGATTTTGTTTTAAAATTTTTCAACATTACAATAAAATCTTTTTTTATTTTGCTAGTGTAAGGTGTTGTACATATGAATATAACCAAAAAAAAAAAATCAGAATTTAAATAATACCCAGGTTCTTCTGGTATTTCATTTGATCAGCACTATGTTGGAAAATCCCGTTCCACACAGGCATCTGGATCTAAACTGAAGTAATGCCTGTAAACCTCTTTCTTCCCATTTTTACTCTTCAGAATGAACTGCAAAAAATACAGCAGCAGTCCCTAAGCTTCCCGTATCTTCTCCCAATAGATCCAGGAAGAAAATGGGTGATGATAAACTAAGAGTTTTGAAATGAAGGCCACTGTGTGGGCTATACAGGATGTTCACTGCTCAGGAGTGCCTCATCCCAGCAGAGCAATGATGAATTTATACGAAGTGGAAAAATCTGCATAATTCCACTGCATTAAATTCTAATAATAGGGGAGACACTAGCTTTTAAACATTTTTTTTTTGTCTGAACTCTTTCAGAAGAGTAAGAGAAAATTTAAAGTAGAGAGAATAGGTTAGTTATTAAGCATAAAAATGTGAATGGAAAATAAAAATGGCTTTCTAGTGAAGTCAAACAAGATCACCATGGAGTTCCAAAAGGAAATTTTAGATACTTTCCTAGATGTGGCAAGAATCTGTTGTTTTCTGTTCATTTGCTGGGTTGCAGTCATCTCTCACGTATTGCCTTTGCATACCCGGGTACAGATTTCCCAATAGGTACAGAAAGTCTTAGAAATTGGTGAAACCAGATTCATTGCCCAAAATTGTGGCAGGAACTGCCCCAGACAACAAGAAGTCTTTCCTGCAAAACCAAAGGAAAGGAAGCTCCTGGCTTTTCTCATTTGGTCATCCCATTTGTAAATCTCTATGAAGTCAAGGAGTTTTTTCAAGCTGCAATTTACATGAGAACTAAGTGGTTTCTAGAGAGTTGTCAAGGGAAATGAGACTGAAAAACCAAGAGGAACAGTACAAAGAACAGTTTTTCAAATGTAAGACCTGATGGCTGATGGGTGACCCAAAGAGTACAACATGGTTCCTATGAGTTAAGTTAAAGACTGTAACCATCCCATTCTCCCACCATGGCTGTTGAGACATTGAATTGCTTTCATATCTATAAGTAAAAGCACATTTTTATTAATCAAGTTCCTCATGCTATTTACTATTTAAATTCCTTTACATATATTAATTCATTCAAAATCTACATCTACAATGTGGAAGGTACTATCAGTTTCTTATTTTAAAGAGGGGAACATTGGGAAACCAAATAGGAATCAAAGCTTGAGTCCCAAGAGTCCAGGTGGCTAAACCAAGTGGATATTGAGCACATAAATACCAAATGAGACTAAAAATCTCTGTTCTGCCTAACTTTCCAATCGTTATAAGGTCCCATTCATTCTTTTTCTTTTTTTTGGGGGGAGGGGGGCTATTACAGGGGATTGAACTCAGGGCACTCAACCACTGAGCCACATCCCCCCTCCAGCCCTATTTTGTATTTTATTTAGAGACTGAATTGCTTAGCACCTAGCTTTTTGCTGAGGCTGGCTTTTGAATTTGCAATCCTCCTGCCTCAGCCTCCTGAGCTGCTGGGATTACAGGTGTGTGCCACCACTCGCAGCTCAATTCTTTTTTAAATAAATATTTACTTAAACTTAGGCACCTTACTAAAAATGAGACAATTTCAATTCCTTCAAGAGAACTAAAAGATTTGTTAGTCAACAGGTGATCTTAGTACTTTTAGGTAAGGGCAAAGGCACAGAGATTTGCATAGGACTGAAAAGTTTGGCCAGGCAGGCTGAACAGAGGCTTTGAGGTGACATTTCAGAAGTGTTAGGCTGACTGAAAGGTTGTACTGGAGGACAGGCCATGCCAATGAAGCCTTCAGTTGCAGGGGAGCAGTGTGGGGAACCACAGCTTAGCATGAGTGAGGCAGAGAAGTTGACGGGGTGGAGAAGTGGTGCGAGAGGCTGGAGAAGGAAGCCAGAACCTTACCATGAAGGGCTGTGCTGCAGGCTGGTCTTCAGCTATAGACAAGCACTTGGGACTACTAAAGACTTTTTTAAGCCAAAAAAAAAAAAAATGTATAATCAGATGTTTGCTTTTAAAAGAAGCTCTGATTACACAGTGAAGAATGGTTTGCAGAGCAACCAAGCCTAAAGAGCCAGGCGGTAGGTTGCTTTGGTAATCCATATGATAGAGAATGATTCTCAGAACAGGTCCAGTGGATGATTAATAAGCATTTGCAAGTTAGGATCAAAGGGGTCCATAGTTTATTGTTGGGATGAGGAGAATGAAGTTTCAAGTTTGGTCAAAGAGATAAGTGGTCACATTATTTCTTGGGATCCAGAGCTTCCTTTTATCACACGAAATAATGTCTATGAAAGCACTTTGTAAACTGTAAAGTACATTGTAAACTCACATCCTCTTGATTGCAACAGGGACAGGCATGAGTATCTTAAAGAAGTTCTCACCAGCTTGGAAGATAGACATGCAACTCTTTAATCATAGTTATAAAGATACCACTATTAACAAAAATAAATATAAAATAAATATAAAGATATAAAAATAAAAATAATATAAAGATACTACTATTAACTTAAAATAACTATGATGAAATAAATAAATGCTTTTTTTATTAGTTGTTCAAAACATTACAAAGTTCTTGACATATCATATTTCATACATTTGATTCAAGTGGATTATGAACTCCCATTTTTACCCTATATACATAATGCAGATTCACATCGGTTACACATCCACTTTTTTACCTACTGCCATACTAGTGTATGAAATAAATGCTTTTATATGACAATCCCTGTTATTAAGAATTGTACATATATAATATCTCATTTAATTGTCATTTTACAGATGAAGAAGTTGGAACATAGGTTATCTGAAGTTTCAGAGCTAGTAATAACACAATTATAAAGCAAAGCTTGCTGTCTATCTCCAAAATCTGCTCCTACCCACTATAGTATACATATCTCTATGAGGCAGACCAAAATTACAGTTCTGCACAAGAAGGTATCAGAAGAAGGTGAAGTTAATCCATAAAATGTAGAGTACAGCAGTTAGAAGCAGGATTTTTGCTTTCTGGGGAAATATTTCATTGTTCTGAGAAGACATTCAGTCAATTTCAAAACCCACTGCTAAGACTCAAGATTATAGTTCTCATCTCCAATTATTCTACAAAATTGTAATGTACTGGTTTTTTCACTAGATGTTGCTCATGCAACGGTTCTGAATATCCAGCCTTGTTCCTAAGCACAATGGCTTTTTCTGGTGGTTTGGAAAATCAAGAAAGGCATTAGTGTTTCTAATCAAGTGTTTTGTTATTTTCACGCCAGTAGACTTTTAATTGGTAATACATTAAATTATGATTTTCAAAATTCAAATAGTTTCATAACCTGGAATATTTTGTTTGTTTCAACAATTTTATTTTGTTTCTGTCCTGATACTCATTATAAACTATCTGATATTTTCTCTAGTAGCCCTCAGTGACATCCAGCATTGGCTTTTGCAGCTCAAATCCTTTGTGGGTTAACATGCTTACGATCTGCAAATCCATCAAATCCATCTCCTGCTCTGGAACATTCTGCTCTTCTGAACTTCAAAAGCTCAACAGTGATAATATTCCCTATTAATGTTTGTTTATCTCCTTTAATCATTACTTTATGCAGTTTTAGTAGCTTCCCAATTCATTTACCAATACATCAGCTCTAAGTACCACAAATATATGAATTTCATTGTGCTATTTGCTTTCAACAGATTTTTACACTCCAGAAATCCAGGAATCGTAAGAGATTTGCTTGATTCATAACAACTCACTCTGACATCTTAGAAACAATATGGACCTTGCATCAGTAATCTCAATGAGCAGCTAGATTTTTCACCCCTCTCAAAGTTCATCTTAAGAAAACAACTAGGAAGAAGTTTTTGATACAGTTCATCACACATGTATCACAACCGCTCTTCTTCTAATTCTTTATTCTCTCTCCCTTGGACTACTTTGCAAGAGCCCTAAGGTTCTTCCTTGGAATATATATATATATATATCCACCTAGAGAAAGCCATCCCCTGCTATTGCCTTAAGTGTCCCTATGATTGTAGGAGACCCCCAACTTTATAGATCTAATTACTGCATTTCAGCCTTATTGCTTGATGTCTCTGCCAAGTGCCTTAATACCACATGTGCTCTGAAAACTCAGAATTCTCCAAATGCCCCAACTCCTCCTTACTTGTTCCTACTCATGACTATTTTCTCAGATACCTATTTTTTAAATTGAAAGCAATATTTCTTTATTCATTTAAATACCGAGTCCTAGCAAGACCTCTGGAATGTCTTGAGCTAGTCTTGTCCTATCTTGGCCATACCCATACCTTCTCATCTGCAATACCTCCTACTCTTCTTTCTGAGTATGTCCCCTCTCTGATCTATCCTTGGCCTCCCTAGCATTTGACCTCCAAAAACACTTTCAGTTTGCTTCTCTTACTTCCCATCTCACTAAGAAACTTCACTTGCTTATTTTTTCCTACCAAATTAAGCACCAATTCCATAATCTTTGACCAGGCTGTCCATAATATGGGTGTGGGGACCTTCTCACCTTCTTCTCTACAAATGTCTGTAGCCCTCTCTGAAAGGCTGCCCTTCAAAGTTCACCTCAAACAATACTTAGCCTTTCCTTATTTGATTTGTCAACTGTGCAGTGTCACCGTAAAATAGGAAGCATAATATTTAAAGCACAGATTGTGGGAATCAGTCTCAGTTCTTTGGCTGATTAACATTTTTGGTTAAGCAACTGGGTAACTGCTCTGCAGCTGGCATCACCTATCACATGTGAATACCAAACAGTACCTGCCTGAAAGACTTGTTCTAAGATTCAAATGAGATAATGTGCATAAAGGAGCTGACACACACATATTTATGTAGCAATCATGAGGACAGAGGGGTAGACAGAAGGGAGCCCACCATTACCATCTTCTGTGCTGCTGTTGTGAGTCACACAAAGAATGCTTCCCTTTTGTTGATATTCTTTTTATTATCATTGTACAAAGTGGGCACACAAGAAGTTTGCTAGATTAAATTGAATGAGGCTCGTAGCTAAAGACAAAGATGGAAAGGGACATAGAGTATTAAATAGGGCCCAGGCTAAAAGCCTGAGCCAGAGAAGAAGAAGTCAAGGAGGAGGCATGCATTGTTCAAATCTGGACACCACCACCCCACCGCCGGTCTCACATAGTGACTGGTATGAGGCACATGCCTAATAATTGTTGGAGGCACTCATATGGTTAATGAATAGGCTGCCATATTTGCATGCATATGGCAATCATGAGGACAGAGAAGGGAGAGACAGACTGTGAGGGGAGCTCATTGTCACCAGTTTCGGTGCTGTTATGATTCACACCGTGACAAAAAAATTGGCCTGATTTTGTGACTGCAGCTCAGGCTGACACGTGGCCTAAGATCTTCAGTAGAGAGCTTGCTGGATGTCGGCATAAGTGGATTTATGAAAGCAAGCATCAGAGAGAGCGAAGGTACACTTCTGAAAACACTTTTCTGACTAGTCCCAAGTACAGATTTACAAAACACTAGCTACACATTAATCAGGTCTTCAGGACCAAATGAGTAACAATGGTGTGGTTTTAGGAGGTTCAGTCTGTTCACTTCCACTAAAAGCTTTTCCTTGGGTACTTTAAGAAAAAAAATTATATTAAAAATTAAAAAAAAGTAATGGGATTCCCAGACAGAAATCTGTGTTTAAATGGCATTAAAGCTGTGGTTTAAATCAACAAAAGCCAGGAAATCCAAAGTTAACCTTTATCCAGACTGTTATACCATTTTTTCCAACTCTGTGTGTGCCTGTGAGCAGCCCTCCCTTTGAATTTCCTGGCTCTAACAACCAAAATCCACAAGTCGCTTTGAATTACAGTACTCTGGGTCTGCTGTTTAATGGAATGATACCCTGAGGATATAAGCTTACTTGTAAATGCTTGTATGTGAAATCACCGTAAATCTAGGAGTCATGAACTTGGTGCTATTTTTTTTTTCTTAAAAGCTCTTGGGATCCCCATTTTTGCCTGATTGCAAATCCTGCCTTCTATCCAGGTAGACGTACTTATAGAATACATGTGTTGCTAATATTGATCAAGTTATATTATAGCTTGTGTGTCATGGTTGCAATTCAGGTGTGTTTCTGAATGTTTCTTTTTCTCTCTTTTCTTTAGACATGGCGATGACTTGATTGTCACTCCATTTGCCCAGGTACGTATTATGCTGGTCTTGGCTCAATCTCACTCTGTCCCTGGGTGTGGTTCCTAAATGTGGCCTTGGAGCCTGGCACCTGTCCCCTTTTGTCACTAACCATTTGAAACCTTTTCTTTATAGGTCCTTGCCAGCTTGCGAAGTGTGAGAAATAACTTCACTCTACTGACAAACCTTCATGGAACATCCAACAAGTAAGCACTGACTCTGTGGAGTTATGAATCCCTTCCATAAAAGCAAAAAAAAAAAAAAAAAAACACCTAACAGCAGTTTTTAAAAACCCCCAAACAAACAAGTATTGCATGGAAATTTGCTCTCCAAACTAAATACACAATGAAATTTGTATTTCCACAAACAATGAAATTTGAAAATAAGATAGAACACTACAGTATTTTGAAACTGGTAAGACATTAGAAATTATCTAGTCTGGGTTTTATTGATATTTTGAACCCTTAACTATACTAGAGGAGTTCAATAAATGAAATAATGAGACAAGGATATTTTTTAAAATTTTATATTTGTCATATTGGCCAAAAATGACCAAAAATGCTATTAAAATTCTTTTAAAATAAGATGTTAATGAATTAAGAGACTCAAATTTAGAATTAAAGATAACCAAAGCTCAAACTCAAGTTACTTGTTGGTTTTTTTTTCCTTTTTTTGAGGGGTGTGGTTTTTTGATAATACATAAAGCAGGTTCGTGCAGTTTGATGATTAATAGTGGAATTACATTCTTCTCTTTCCCTAGTGAAATACATGACCTTGCTTGTTTCAATTAACATTGCCAATCCTTGGTCTCCTCATCTGTAAAGTGACGGGGTTGAACTTGTTATTCCTGACAGTAACTTTCTCTTCCAAAATCATTTCAATCCATAAGCCTAATGTAAATGCTATACAGTTCACTCTCCTACATGTTTTAATAGATCCTCAGGCTCTGAGGGTCATAGAATCCATGATGCTCAACCTTTGTGTTTAATTGAAAGATAAATGCAAGCCCTCGGGAGCAACCATGACATAGGTAAAAGACACAGAGGGACCAAAACTTAAGTCTTTCGATTTTTCAGTGTTCAAAGTACAGAGTGTCCTGTCTGTGGTCTTTGTAAAGTCATTCACCAATCCTCTATTTTGTGATCATTCAAATCTCCCTAGAGTGGGTTTATTAAAAGTGAGAGTAGCCTATTTTGAGTGATTTCTTTTCGGTTCACTGTCCTATAACTTGTTTTTAAGCCTCCTTGTGAGACGAATGTGCCTACCCGAGCAGAGGCTTTTCCACCTTTGGACTCTATTTTTCTAAACTATTCTCCAGATTTCTAACAGAGCAAACTTTCTGTTTGATCACAATTGTTTGTTGCACTCATATGGTTAATGAATAAAATGCATATTTGTGGACCATTGCAGTGGTCCACTCCCATCATTAAGAAAAAATTTAGAAGCTAGTGCTTAGTACCCAAGGTACCTTATAGCCCAGATCAAATTAATATGACTGATTGTTGGTTGGGTTTATGTTTAGTGTCCTGTACAGATAGATTGAACACCCAATCTGAAACTCCAAAATTTGAAACTAAGCGCTAGCCAACATGATACCAAAGGTGAAAAGTTCCACAGCAGACCTGTCATGATGGGTTGCACTGAAAACACACGGGCACTAAAAATATTGTATAAAATTACCTTCAGGTTCCATGTATAATAAGGTGTATATAAAACAAAAAAATAAATTTTGTGATTATACTTGAGTCCCATTTCTAAGGTATATGATGACGTATTTGCAAATATTCTAAAATCCCAAACCTGAAACACTTCTGTTCCCAAGCATTTCAGATATCAGATACTCAGCCAGTATATGAAACTCTGAGACTTGACCCAGCCTCTTCTGGAGTGGTACTCTCTGTTTACTTATTTATCAAAATCCATCCAGTAAGGACTTATTCAGTATGTACTATTCATTCATGCATGTACATGTGCACTGACAAATATTAGCTAAGCACCCACTTTTTGGCAAGTACTGATTATATAATAGTGAACAAAACAGACAAGTTCTCTGCCCTTTCAGGGCTTAATGTCTAATAGGAAGTGCCTGGGGATCCAGTGGTGAATAACCAGACCAGGTCTCCAGCCACATGGGATTGTGTTCAATAGTTGTGGTCTAGCGGTTCCCTGCATGCTCTCTTCTCCATCCTAATTGTGGACTTTTTGTTCTCTTTTCCTGAAATGTCTCCTTCCTCCTAGTGGTGTCCTCTTGGCCAGGTCCTAGCTCTATTTTATGATAATATGATATGGTGTCCCTTCTAGTATCACCTTATCAGAATGTTTTCCCTTACTCTTCCATAGCATAGTGGCCCTCATGTGACTGGAAGATATTCTAAAGACCCTAGCACATTCCTTTGTGGATCTTGGCCAATCACTAGACTGTGCAGCTCTTAGAGGGAAACTTGGATTTATTTTTCTTTGAATTCCCAAGAATTAGTAGAATGCTGACACACAGTTTAATTTTCCATAAATAGTCATCATATATATGATTTTCTGAATAAGTAATGATTCAAGAAAGTTCCGCAATTTTTTAGAAAATTATTTTCTAGAAGTGATTCTCCTCTATTCCTATATTTTTGTTTTTGCTTTCTGCAGAATAACTTAAAATTATGTATTTGTGCAAGTTAATTTCTTTCTCTAAATCTCCGTTTCCTAGTCTGTAAAATTGGGTTGTTTTGAGGATTAAATGAGCTGATATTTGTAAAGCATTCAAAACACCATCGAGCCCAGCAAATTTAAACTGTTATAATTGATAGACAATTTCTCTTGCTAAATCCAGAAGCACTGTAACACTGTGGTGTTTTCATATCCATTATCTAAGTGACAACCACCATAAATGAATCTCATGGCAGGCCTTGGCACCCCCTCTCTGTGGGTTAGGACACAAAGCTTCAGGAGAGGAAGTGACAAGCATATAGCCACACACGTCTGGTGAGCAGCAGTCACACTAGAAACCTGGCTTTCTGGCTCTCATTGCAGAGCTCTTCCCATTCTCTACCCCTACTAAGTCCTCTGGGTTATGGGAAGAAGTCCCTGGAGAAGAACTGATGGAACTGATGACAGTCAGAGAGCCCAAAGACAGAGACGTTAGCTAAGATAGTATTTGCAGGAAATAAAATGTGAGGGCCAAAATGATATAGGGGGGAATGGAGAGGAAGGATGAAAAAGGACACATTTTAAAGGGTTCTTTAGCATGACTGTACCCAAACCACTACACTGTGTAGCTCCAAGGAAAAAGAGGGGCGGGCCTAGTGATTTCAGCCTGATTCGTTAGCATGGGTTAGGTGGTCTTTCCTAGTTAGTACTGGGGCATTCATCCTATCCCTGCTGACAATTAAATTATGTCAGCTTAAATTACTTTCTTAACAATCAGGTCCTCAGATAGTCCTGTGGGTTTGGGGCCATATAAGCTTTTATGAATCAAATATCCTGAGACCATAATTGCCATACAAAACCTGACTTACAGCCTATTTCCACCCCTCAAATCGTGGCCCTTTGTGTCACCTTTGGTCCAAAGCAAACCACAACTACCAAACAGAATAGATCTCCAGCTATAGGATAGCTGCATTGACTGACATTTCTCAAATCCACCAACATGTCTGTACAGAATTGATCCTGTTATTAATTGCTATTATAACCAATAGCAAGCAACAAAAACTTAAGACAGGGAAAATCCCCACTAGAGCTCCACCAAAGGGAGTGTAGCCCGGGCTACAAAAGGAGTGTACCAGAATGATGGGTTTGGACCACAGTTGGAGCAGCCTGGCAAGGGCAGGTTGGAGAACTGAGGGTTCATTTAATGAATTCTCGATAGTCTATTCCTTGATAGTCAATAACCTCAAACAACTGGAGAAAATCCTAGAGAAGGAAGTGCAGATAATATTATGTGCCAGGAGTGGATACAGCATCCTAAGAGCAATGAAAGACATTCCAGATGTACACTTATTTCCCACCCCCAGCCTCCACATATATCAAGAATATAAGATTCATGGACTTCAGAAGTTGCTTTCTGGGATATTTGACTTGGGTTCAGGGTGCCACTCCCTGTCTTGAATGAAACACTTAAGCAATAATTATTTCCTTGGAGTGGTTTGTATGAGACATCTGGTTAGTGTGGTTTGTATATGAAAAGGAACTCCCACATAGAATAGCACTTCTCAGAGTGAAGGTTTCTTTTATCTCTTGGCTCTTTGCTCTGCATAAAAGTAGTCCATTGTCTGCCTGAATTTTACCACCCAAAGGGTGAAAATCGAAAGGTTCCCATTGAACTGATTTCTTTGCATCTCCATGGTGTATCACACGGAGGGACACTTGATTGGGCCTGTATTTCTTGGCTGCACATTCAGCCTTATTTCCATTATCCCTGGAGTTAATTTTGAAAATATGGCTTTCATTTAGAGTTGTTAATATAGATAAGCATCCCTAAACTATTTACTGGCTTCAGACTTTTCCTGATGGAGTAATCAGATGTCTGTGTGAAAGTGCCCACAGTCCAGGAGTCAGTAACCAGTAACCAGCCTGTAGCAAGGTGTCCTTCCTCATCCCACTCTGTCACTAATATCATGCATGTTACCTGTGGCTATCAGGAAATCAATGCAACATCTTTCTATTAACATTCTTCCAAAGCATAATCTAATTAAAATATAAATAATCTTTGGGAGAGAATTAATGATCTCATTTTTTTAAAGTGTATGTCTGATATGCCTTTCATTGCTTTATGTACTTTGGCATGGGATTTAAATTAGCTGAGAATCATAAAATCTTGAGCATTCTGGGCTGGAAAGAACCTAGCCAGATTTCCTCAGAGTAAGTCAGAAAAATATATGAAAAACCCCACACACAGGCCTGGCACATTGTAAATCAGCAGTAGATGTTAGCTGCTGCCTGCTCTCCCCAAGTCCGGAAGAAAGTAAAAGGTTCACATGAGTTGCCGAGGGCTACTCAGTTGGAAGGTGTTAGAGCCAGGATTAGAATTCCTACTTTCTTATTCATAGTCCAGTTTTCTCTCCATTGTACTATTCAGGGCTGGAAAAAATTAAGTGCTGTGGCCCTCCCTGTTCATATCACCATCTCCAGCAGCCAGGCAGAGAATTTCTTATGATCTTTCCCTAAGTTATGGGCCATTGGAAGTTTGGCCAACAATATCATTTTCCCCTGCATTCATCACAGTTTTCTCACTGGAATTCTTATGTCCTCCAAGCAGTAATGTGGCTTTCAGAAGTTATTCATTTAAAATCATTAAACCTTTTTCTTGCACCAGATCTCAAGAATAAGTGATGAACCACATAAACATGGTTCCTGGCTTTCCAAAGCTTACACACAGAGATGCTTATCTGAACTAACAACTCTAAATGAAAGTCATATTTTCAAAAACAACTTCTGAGATGAAGGAGTTTATGTAATATGTTTAATTTCCAAGAAGTTCATTGAGAGAATTGGGTGCTATAAGCAAAGATGGACAACATTTAGAATCTCCTAGTTTACTCTTTCCTTTCACAAAGGCTTCTTTGTAACTCAGGAATAGATACAAAATAAGATCATTAAAAATGGATTATTACTCCAGTGAATATGCTTTGAATATCTACATCATACCTAATATTATGCTAGATTCTAGAGGTACTACTATGAATAACACTCAGTCTTTGCTTACATTTCTCACAGATGAGTTGGGCAAACGGATAGAAAAGTGGTAAATGCAATACACTGTAAGCACAGCAATGATGGGGTAGACTCAGGAAATATTATAGCACTGGACAAGGCCCACTCGTAGGCCCTGAGTGCAGTCCCAGGTCACATGAAAGAGTTAGCTACTTAAAAAGGAGAAGAAAGATGTTCAACTAAACAAAATGTATGCAAAGGCACAGCCATAAATTAGATTTTGCGTGTTCAAGAGACAGTGAGACATATATAGAACCAAGACTGTTATGTGAAAAGGAACACATTCCTATGGAGTATTTGGTTCCTTAAATCACTTTTATACCAAAGGTCCATCCAATCAAAAGTCTGCCAATGCTTTGGGAGTTCAACTATTTGCCAGGAAGCTGGTGGGTCTTGCATAGGATATAAAGAACTGGATTCTGCCACAGATTATTGGTCGAGATATATGTACCTATATGAATCATAACATGGGAAATGACTCCAAAGACACATTAGAGTCTAGAGGAAGAATGATTTTCAGCTGAGAAGAGTATCCTTTGAGAAAGATGCTTGGTCTTTGAACAGCAGGTGATATATAAGGTGGGAAATGCTTCCCTGGCAGAGGAATGACCTGAGCAGTGGCAGGAAACAGACAACACATATTCAAGGAAAAAGAAGTAATCAAGTTTGGCATTGGCCAAGCATGAATCAAATCTTTCCCAGTCCACCCATCTATTCATTCATTCATTCATTCATTCATCCATCCATCCAGTTATTATTTAATTCAACAAGTATTGCTGAGGGATCGATAAGTGAAATACCATCCTGTATGCCATGCTGGGATCCAGGAGTGAGCAAGTCATTGCCTACCCATATACAGTTTACCTTGAAGGAGTCATCTGTTGAATTCTAATTGGGGACTATTTTAATTACAAGTTTAAAGCTCTACAAAGGAGCAGTACAAGATGCATAGAACACATAGTCAGTGGTTTGAGAAGAAATGTCAGGCAGGAGGAATTCAGATAAGCCTAGAAAAAGTATGTTGAAGCGAGAGAGCTTGCACTTTGGATTCAGAAAGACTTGGCTTTGAATCCTGCCGGTCGGAAACCATGTGTGCTTTAATAACTTCTCTGAGCTTGTTTCCTTATCCTTAAAATGCAATAGTATTCCCACTAAAGGAAGCAGTGCAGTGTCTTACAGAGAAAAGATCATTAGATGATAATTTCCCTTCCCTTTCACATGAAAATTTGGTGCCACAGAGGATTTGAAAGTACCTGCCTAGCCAGGTGTGGTGGCACACACCTATAATCTCAGCAGCTCGGAAGGATCGAGAGTTCAAAGCCAACCTCAGCAATGGGAAGGCACTAAGCAACTCAGTGAGACCCTGTCTCTAAATAAAATACAAAATAGGGCTGGGGATGTGGCTCAGTGTTCTAGTCCCCCTGAGTTTAATCCCCAGTACCAAAAAAAAAAAAAAGTACCTGCCTAGAATTACTCAGCTAGGAAATTAGTCCTGAATATGGACCCTATCTATAGACTATAGCTACAGTGCATTACTATGTAGAAGCTGGATTACCCATAAGGGATCAGAGATTGATAGAGTACTTAGAAAAATAATTATGTAGGAAAATCAGTAGGAAGAGCCTTCTTTGGCAACAACTTTGTAGGTCTTTCTCTACCGTTCAGAATTTGGCTTCTTTGGCAAACTTCTCTGTGCCTGGGAATGCACAAAGGAGTAAAAATATGGATTCCCAGGCCTCATCCCAGATATACTGAAATGGACTTTCAGGGATAAAGAAAGGGATTCAAGAGACCCCCCAAATGTGTCTGATGCTTATCCATGTTTGAGAGCTTTGGGCCTAAGGTGCCACTCTCTTGCTCATTGCCAACATCCTGTTGCTCCTTAGTGGGATAGAGAATCCTTAGTACCAGTGGTTCTGAAGGAGGGGTCCCCAGACCCCAACAGCAGCACCTGGCAACCTATTAGAAATGCAAACTTTCAAATCCAGCCCAGGTCAACTGAATCAGAAACTCCAGAGGTAGTGTTTAATAGAATGTTTTAATAAGCCCATTAGGTGATTCTAGTGCACCCTAAAATTTGATAGCACTGGGAGATTCTCAGGAATCTGGGAATCCAGAAGAGTCTGCCAACATTAGTTCTGCAAAGCATGAGGCTGGTGAAACCAGCAAAATTAGGGGAAGAGGTACAGAATAAGAAAAAGAAACAAAAAGGAGAAAAAGACCCACTATTAGTGTAACATGGGTTTGTTTGCTTGTTTCATTTGAGTGTTGTTATCAGGAAACTTGCTATGATGAAGAATGATGCCCCAGTTCCTCCATAAAAAGGCAGTTCCCTAAGTTAAGCAAGCTGGGTTACTGTTGCTTGTGGCTGGGTGACCTTTAGCAAGTGACTTCAGCTCTTGAGTTCCCAGTCTCCTGAGATACAAAAACTGCAGGGCCTGAACTTTTTGCTCTCTAAGGGTTCCTCTGGTTGCACTACCCAAAGGAACTGGGATTCACTCTGACATTGGAATGATGCCTGAGCAAATGTCTCCTCTTCTGAGAGACTCCTGGGACAGCAAAACACCAAACAGAGGGGCTGACTAGGGACCTGGTAAACAACTTCCTTCCTGAAGAGTGAGAACATCCTGAGGCTGTGCAGAGGGAAATTCCAGGCCATCTGGATGTGAGAGAATTGTAGTCATCGACCCACGTTACAGGAGCCTGCCTTCCGGAGATAGCATTATGTCACTTGATTGCTCATTATGACCTGGAAAACTCCTCAGTGATCACAGCGAGGTGGGAGCATTAATACACGAACTCAGCCCTTCTTTTCTCGTTCTCCACAGGAGGTCCCCAGCGGCTAGTCAGCCTCCTGTCTCCAGAGTCAACCTGCAAGGTAGGCCATGTCATCAGAGATAATCTCCATGTTTCAAAATAAGAACTGCCTCTTATTCAGAACTGCCTTTGGAATAACATTTGTTTGCATGCTGTGGCTCTCAGAAGAATGTCTCTTGGTGACTTTTTTCAAAGGTATACTAAAGCTTCACTTCATGCCAAGTAAAACCAAATTAAAAGCAGTATTAAAAAAATTTGCCCATTTTATGCGCAGGCTTTCCAACTGTGATGGATGGAATGAGCTGCTCTTTCCCACCAGAGGAGCATCCATCAGAGCTGTGATAGAGTGCAGGCTGACCTAAGCCTTTAGGCTCCAGTGAATTCCAGGAGAGCTGACCTCAGTGACCCCCCCAGGTGCCCACACTGGCCTCAGGGGTTCCAAGGATATGTTAGTGGTTTCCTCTTAGCATCAATCATAGCTGTCACTACACCTACATCTTTTCCAGGTGTGAAACCGAAGGTTCTTCCAGGTCACAAATCATTTCTCGTGGAGATTTTCAAACTTGTTCCTCCAAGGTGTTTTTTGTTACTTTCTTTTAAAAAACCTAATCTCTCATCATTCAGTACTGTGCATCTGCTTTTCCTGCAGTGTTGAGAGTGATGAGAGGAAGGACCACCATAAGGGAACACCATGCAGATGAGTTGAACACAAATTATTGACACAATACACAAACCATTAGATCACCTTTTCTTAAGTCTAAATGCAGTTTTTCCCCTTGATCCTGCCCCACTCTTGTAGTAGTGAGTTTCAGCAAAACAACAGAAGAAACTATTAAGATGAACTCAAAGCATAACCACCTCACATCTATCATTGCCTATCACACGATTCCATTTCTAGCAGCACTGTACCTTCCCCTTTAGACTTAGCTCTTCCTTACCTGGAAGTTCTGATCTCATGCTAGTACTCTGACCATAAGTATCACGAAAGTATCACAAAAGCCCAACTTCTAAAAGAAGGGAACAAAAGCTGCGATTCCATTGGCTCATTGGTTTCCAAAGTGTTTATGGCAGACGCTTCTAAAAATATTTTTACAAAAGAAAGATTGCAGACAAGAATAAAAGTGAAAGAAAGACATTAAATAAGGGTGAGTTTACTCTGGAGCCCCATGATAGGAAATAAATAGAAGTAAATAATACTATTAACTATGGACTTCAAAAACCTAGGGTGCTGGATGTACTGTTTTCCTTTAGAAGTTTTACAAAAAGAAACAAAATAGAGTGTTTTATCATATAACTGGTGTTGCATACTTGGAGATGAAAGGAGCTGGGTTTGAAACACCTATCATTTCATCTCACTAGCCGACCAGTAAGGTACGGCTGCTGGTATTTCTGTTTGGCAAATTTGCTAAGATGTTTTTGAGATCAATTTGAATATTTAGACTGTGTTTCCTTTTTCTTGTGATACATACCGACAGATAGTAGGACAATATGTGACATTTATGGTTCTATAAATTAGTTCATTAGCCAAAGATGCTGTTGGAAAGATTGTTTTGTGATTTTTGGCACAGTAACTACAGCTTGGCAGCTAGAGATTCTTTTGCTAAATTCCTTTAAAACAATGGAGCACAGAAATGACAATACCACTTAGGCAATTTGTTTTTGTCTGTCTTTGTGGCAAACTACAAAAAATCCTGGCTTTTCACTGGGAAGAGAATGTAGTGATACCAATTATTACGTAATTATGGGTTTCAAAATCTTCTTAACCACAGTCAGAAAAGGAAGGAGGAGACACACATCCCGTGTTTTGTTCTTATTATCAGCTTAAATAAGTCAGGCAGATTTTTCCTGTTATTTTAATATTTATCAGCATATGACAAAGAGGTGTGTTTAAATAGAAACTTTAAAGGGGAATGAAAAATAAATGGCTCAGAGCAAACAGAATAGAGAACCAGAGTGGCTGCTTTGAAACATGATTTTTCATGATAATAAGATCAGATTTTCACTTATTAGTACTGTACTCATGTATTTCAATTGAAATCTAAAATAAAAGATTAAAAAAAATCCACAATAATGTAAGCAGATTTAGCAACAAAGTAGTTCATTAGCAAAGCGTGATTGATTCAGACAACTGCTTTCTTGCATACAAGCAAGTTTGAGAGAGAAAAAGTGGAATCTTCTTAAAAGGCAGCTTCTCAGTGTCCTCCTACTTCTTCTCTTCCTCCTTCTCTTCCTCCTCTACCTCCTCCTCCTTCTCTTTATCTTCTATATAAATAAAGGAAGTACAACTCATTTTAACAGCTAATTTTCAGAAGTCAAAAAACTGAGACATTTATTCTTGCAAATTGATCCTTCACGCAAAAGTCAAAGGAAATCTCTCAGTTTGAAATACATTTTTTTTCTCATTGTTGAACCAAGCTAATTCTCAGCTCTCATGGCTCAACACAAATTTTTCTTTTTTGAAAAGACATTTAAAAAAATTTTTTTTGGTATAATTGTTCCTTTATTGTGTCATGGCATTGATTTAATTCTGTGATGCATTGTAACTCCTGGAATGGCTTGTCCATTGGAGCTGAAGCTCCTGAAGTTTCAGGCTGTGCTATATTCCTCTCTTTATCATTCCCAGTGTATCAACAGTGATTTTCACGTGGTAGAAATGCAATAAATGCTGAATCAACCAGGACAACCACATAAAATGTGGGGACTTTAACTGGAGGAAAATGTTCATAAAATTAAATTTTTAATAATGAGCCAGTATTTTTATCTCTGTGACTATGAAAATATTCATTCATGCTTATCTTTCATATTAAAATCAATTGCTGCATTGAAATTTAAAGAGGTCCATCCTATAATTGTGCATACATATTCAGTGTGTCTGTACATGTTTTGAATAAAAAGAGTTAAATCTAGCTGGGTGTAGTGATGAATGCCTGTCATCTCAGCTTCTCTGAAGGCTGAGGCCAGAGGATGCAAGTTCATGGCTAGCCTAGGAAATTTAGCAAGGCCCTCAGCAACTTGGCAAAACCCTGTCTGAAACTAAAAAATAAAAAGGGCTGGGGATGTGGCTCAGTGGTAGAGTACCCTGGGTTCAATCCCCAGTACCAAAAAATAGACAATATAAAAGAGTTAAGTCTTGAGGAGGAAAACTGAGAAGAGTAATGATTTTTCAACCCAGGAAGAAGAGCAGTGTGGAAGCCATATGCTCCCAGGTTGAGGAAAATCAGGCAATAAATCCTCCTGAGGGTGTAGAAAATGCAAATTCTGGAGTCTAATGAGCATCTCCATTTGTCTCACATTTTGCCTTTTCACAAGCTTGAAATCCAGGCTTTCTCTGTGTGGTGCTCAAGGATTGAAACAGAAAGTTTAAAAAAATAGAAGAGAGAAAACTCTAAAACAAGGCAGGAACTAGAATTCTGTCACCTATACGTATTCAAAATGGAAAACTGAAATAATTCACAGGATTTCAGGCCCCAAAACTATCTTCAATAGAGAAAAATCACATCATGTAATTTTTTAAAATGGATGCACGTGAGGTTATGTGATCATTATCTCACTTTTCTCACCCGTCTATCCTTTGCTGTTGCACATATTTTATTAAGGATTGTAGGAATGTCATTAATGTGAGGATTTACTCAGAAAAACAATTACCAAGTGATCTCGGCCTTTTAAAATGATTCTTTGCTTTATAAAAGGATTGGAGAACTATTGCTTTTAATAGTCAGCACCACTGAGTCATATGAATGTGACTTGATTTATAATAAAATGTACCATATATAATATTTTAACAGTCAAACTGATGTGTAAAGTAGGATGTTCTATACTATTTTTTTTGTTCTAGATTTTTCCATGAAACATGTTGAGTAGGAACATCACCACTTGTGGATCAGATATTATAAGAATAACTCAGAAGTCCATGGCTCATCGGAAAAGACAGCAAACCACCCAAATGACTAGAAAATTGTCTTAAGGACTTCAGCCCAGACTGCTGCAGGTGCAGTCTATCTCAGCCTGGGTATCTACAGGCTTGGTTTATGGTGGTTTCTAACATTAGTCAATTAGGATGCATTTCCAGAAAAGACTGTGTTCAGAGAGATAGAATGAGGTAGTACAGCATTTTCCAGTAAAGTCTGAAATGGGTTGACCTAAGTGAAAAAACTGACTTCGGTAGGTTTTTTCCAGTGCTTCAGAAAATATATTTCTTCTGATATATATATATATATATCCAGGCTATTCTGAAGGAGGAAATGACTCTTTACCAGTTGACAAATGAAAGAAGAGGTTTTCTCCTGGAAAGCCTATTTTTCTATGTGGGTTCTTCCCATATCTTTTCTTGATTATGAGTATTTCTGAGGTTTGAGTGAAGGTACCAGATGCAGGATCTGTTCAAGGAGTAGATGAGAGCTCAGTTGGATTGTCTTTGAGTCTAAGCAATTCAGAAAGTCAAAACATTGATTGATTCAGTTCTTATTCTTTGCCAGAGTTTCCAAGGCCTGGAAAGAGAAAGGGGCACAGGGCTGTCTGAGAACTCCAACAATGGCCTGAGAGCTCCTCTATGTCAGATGACTGGAAATGAAGCCTAGCACAAGCGGAACCTTTGCTTGGTTTCTACATTAAGCAAGAAATGTCAGGCAGGATTACAACACTTATGGGCAAATAGGAATAAAATCAATCTTGTTACCAAAGGCTGTGTCCAATCACAATAAAGGACAGATTGGAGGAAATGACAAATAAAAAAAGTAGAAATATCAAACTATGTTTTCCTCATCATTTTTAATGCTGTGTGACCTGAATTATTGGGATAAGTGGCTTAATTACCCACCTTGAGTGTTTAAGCAACCTGCATACAAAATGATAGGACGAGTACACCAGAAAAGTCCCAAGTAATTCTTAGAATAATTCCCTAAATGGTTGTTTTGTAAGAATTACTTTTGTCTAAAATAGCCGTCTTGTGAAAGTTTACCCCAGAGCATCAACCCACTGAGCTGTTTATATTGATTTGCAATTATTTCACATATGTCTAAAATTAAGTATGGACAGTGGCAAAAACATTAGCAAGTTAGCTAA